GTCGGGCCGAAGTTCGTTCCAACCTGCGTGCCTTGGTTCGCCGTCGCCTCCCGCCCCTCTGCCGAGCATCTCAGGTACAGGTCCGAGTCGCGAGGCAAAGCGTTGTACGCCACGGCAGCTTCACGCAGGTCGTTGGTGCGGGCGAATCGCAGGTAGGCTCGCCATGCTCCACCACCACCTTTCTTGACCTCCTCCGCGTCGCCGTCGCCGTGCTCGGCGCCGTCACGCCCGCCGCTGCCCGCCTCGCTCGGCCCGCAAGCACGCCCATGCACGGCGTCGCCAAAACCACTGCTGCTCCTGATGTGGTAGCCGCTCCACTGGGCACTGAGCTGCGGCATGTCGATGGCGTGGGTCTGGAGACGGCTCTTCACGAAGCGGTGAACCTGGGCGTGGCCGCTTTCGACGGGGCTGGTGTTGGTCTCTGCCAATTCAGCGTGCAATACCAGTCGGTGTCTAAACTCCATCGAGCCAAGGTCGCCGCTCTCGAGCATCCGCTTGGACCAGGGGTCGAGCAAACACGGCGGGTCGGCAGCGATGATGGACGCCATGTCTGGCTGGTCAATCAACGTGAACAACTTCCATGGGTAACCGCAATGCGGTCGCACGAGAGACTTCTCAATGCCAGCTCCTGCTTTCGATATCTGACGGAAGGCGAGCGATCGAGCACGATTCGTCATCTCGGGCTCGTGGATCAGCATCCACAGGGCGGGTGTAAAAAGCAATGCCCGAAGCTGCATCATCGTTCTTCCTTCCAGAACACCGCGGGCTGCGACGAGGATGCGGTAGTCCCTCTTCGCGGCGCCACGAGAACCATCGCTAGTAGCGCCCCTGGCAACAACGGCGTGCTGCCGCCGCTGCCATGCCCGAGACGATATATGGAGCTGCTTTCTCAAGTTGAGCTGCAAAGGGGCGATGACGTTGCGCGCGACAATCAACCTGGTGAGCGGCGATGGCCGAGAAAGCGATAAGAAAGCCAAGCCCTCACGAATGTGCTTTGCAGTCCTCTCTTGATGTGCGTTCATGTTGCCATCGGCATTGGAGTTCGCCTCGTCGTCCGCGTCGTCGTTGTCGCTGACGGCGCCGACGACCCCGCCGTGCCCGCCCTCGCCATCGTCGCCGACGCCCTCGATCATCAAGCCCGCGGGAACGACGGGAACTGGAACTGGGATACCAGGGGCCCTGCAGCCGCGCCGTTTCGCCCAAAGGAAATAAGCTGGCGCAAGAAGACCGTGGCAAACTTCAATCAAACCAATGTCGCACAGCGCCTCCTCCTTCCCGACCCACTTGATCCTCTTCCAGACCCGAGGGCGGCGATGGCACAGTGCTGACATCATGCCGTCTACGACTGTCTGAACTACGCGCTCCTCGTCAATGTCACCGTCGCCCGCAACCCAAACCTCGACACGCTCCGCGTTTGTCCAGTCCCCGTTGGGCAATATATGAAGGAGGGCACGACGAACAGATTCATTACCCCCTCCTGGGACGAATGAACGAATCGCAGCACGACGGTACACCAATGTGCTGTCGGGGGCCCGCCCACGGCATATCTTGATCCTAGTCCGAATGACGTGGCGGAGACATGCACGAAAATCGCTCATCACCCCAGCTGTTGCAAACCCCAATGCGATATGAATGGCACCTTTCACAACGTCTTCTGCTAAGGTCATCGAGCGTGTCTGAACGTTGTGGACGACGTGCACTTCGCACACCAACACGAGAGATGACCATCCATCCCCACGAAGCTGCAAGTACCCCCTTTCAGCTGCCAGATTCGAGGGGTGGCCGTCAACCGATGCGATCCTGGTCGCGTGCTCGAATTTGTTGTCCAACAAGGTGGTAGATTCTGCGTCTAGCAACGCGCGCAGGATGTTGGCGGCATGCGCTGTCTTCAGCGCCTGAAGCCCGTGCACGCAGGAACCTTTGATGACGAAGTATCTGGTGGCAGCATCATCGCTCTCGCCCGTGGCGAAGAGGTATGCCCAGCTGGTTCGGGTCTGGAGCAGCTTCGTTGGGGTCTTCTCTGAAGGCTTTGAAAAAGAAGCCGACACTGGAACCGAAACGATTACCTCACCATCGAACACGGAGGTCGCGCTCCGCTGCGCATCTGGTGCCCTGATGTCCATCGGTGTCTCATCATACATTGTGTTCTCGATGCACTGCACGAGCCGCAGATGTGAAATCTTGGATGTCGTTGCTGCTGTAACGACCGACCGACGAGAATAACGATCCAAGCACCACGTCAGAGCTGCCAACCGTTGCACGTTCGTTTTGTATGTTTTCCTGTCGATGTCACATTCTGCGGCCTGCAACTCCAGAGACTTGGCCGACAAGGCCTCGCACCCCAACAAGAACTTCTGCACAACAGTCGGGTTCTCACGTGGCTGTGCAGGCGAGCGAAATGCGAGAGGGAGCACGGTGCCCATGTGGCCAACAAGAGGGTGGGGTACCCCAGGCAGCTTTGGGGCCATCATGCGACGAAGATCAACTGCGCCAACCCTGAAACCCACAGGTGTCGATGAAGCTTGTACGAGCCGTCTCTCCCGCCTGTTGGCCAGGGCCGTAGCGCGACCAGCAGCTAATGCATCCAGTCTCCGCCGCTTCCCATCAGGGGCGGCGGCTGCGATATCGGACATGAAGCCTGGATGTCCGCGGGCATTGCCACGAGGAAACCCTAGCCCCGACGGGGCCTGAGAGCCAAAACGGCTACGGAATGAGCGACGCCATGTGCCTCTTCGGGCATGAACCATCCATCAAGTGCAGGAGGAAAGGGATGCGTATGATGGTATCAGGTAAGTGTGGAGATGACGTTGGGTCTTCAGGAGGTTGAGGGGAGATCGGGGCTCTCTTGTGGCTCGTTGGAGTCCAATGACATGTACTGAACAGAATGCCCAGTCATTGTAAGATAGATTGCGTAGTACAGAGAACGAATGTGCGAATAAGCTGGTCATCCGTACGCAGCGGCACCCTCATGTGGGGGTTGGTGACCGTTTAGCCTCAACAATACACAATGCGGAAAGACACGCTGAACTACGCAGAGCGGCACGGCCAGAAACATGACAGCTGCGCACGGCACGGCGCAGCACAGCACCCAGGTCGATACATCAAGGCGGTACGATGCGGCACGCCACCTCTTACGTTGGCACGGCACGGCACGGCAATGTATTATCAGGGACAATGGCGTCAGAACTACTCTTGCAAGCGCAGGAAGTAAGAACGAGGAGGAGGAGGAGGAACGAGAGGAGGAGGAGGAGGAGGAGGCAACCCGCTGGCTCAACATATCACAATCATTATCATACGGCATTGCATCGTTTCTGAAATGGCCAAGCGAATTCTGACACTTTTTCTGAGGTCCTCATAAAAGGGTCGCCCGACACTTTTTCGACACTTTGGGCCGATATACCAGGGGAACACAGCCTAGCGGTCCTGCCCATTATAGAATTAGGAGGCCTCCAGGCAACACAAATACCCATCGGTCGGAAGAAGTAGGTAGAAACATGAAGTAGGAAGGCGTTGGAAATAGATTGGGTTTCCGCCCGCCTCCTGAAGAGGAGGGAAGAGGGAAACCCACTCGACTCTTGAAGTAGGAAGGCGCTCAAAGTAGATTGGAATCTGGAAATCCAAAAATACCTACTTTCAACGACCGATGGATACAGACGAGCTGAAGAGATTGAACTTAGACGGCCCGTGGCAGAGGAAGTGACCCCGGCTGGAAACACCGGCAGGGGCTGACACGATGCCCTGCAGTCGGGATGCGGCCGCCGGGGCTGCAACAAAAACTGGTTGTGAACTTGCCAGGGCTGGACAGTGGAAAAGCTGCCCCCCAGCCTCTTCTGATGGGCGTGTTTTCCACCACCACCACCACCACCATAAGTTGGAGGGGGGGCGTCCCCCTCCTCCTCCTCCTCCTCCTCCTCCTCCTCCTCCTCCTCTTCGTCCTCCTCTACTTCCTCCTCCTCCTTCCCCCTTCCAACTTATGGTGATGGTGGTGGTGGAAAACAAGCTCATCAACTTCTTCCTGGTTGCCTGTAGGGCCCGGACCTAGACCAAAAACCCATCCTTCAAGAACACGAGACCCTGCGCTGGCCAAACTGAAGAACCTTCGAGGGATCACTCCTCCGGGATGCAATCCAGCCGGCACGAAGAACCTTGGGGCACCTTCCCGAACCGACCTCGACCTTATACGTCGGCCCGACCGTGCCAGCATCATCGAGCCCGAAGCTTCTCAGAGGTCGGCCCCCCTCGCGCCAGCCCCCTTCGTGCGCGCCGTCGGTCACGATCGACGAGTGTATCCAGATCCATGCATCCGCGGTCTGACATCCGAGGCGCGACCCCATGGATGCAGTCATCCTGCAACCACTGGGGAACATCAGATCAGGAACGAAAGGGCTTCTCTGGCCCCGACGAGCCTTGACCACGAAGAGGTCTCGCGACCAAGATCTAGGGACGCCTCCTCCTCCTCCTCCTCCTCCTCCTCCTCCTCCTCCTCCTCCTCCTCCCACTCCTCCTCCCGCTCCGCCTCCCACTCCTCCTCCTCCTCCTCCTCCTCCTCTTCCTCTTCCTCCTCCCCCTCCTCTTCCCACTCACCCTCCCACTCGTCCTCCTCCGCCTCCTCCTCCTCCTCCACCTCCCCGAAAACCAGAGCCAAAGCCCCTCATACACGCGATCCGACGGACGCGCTCTCCGCGGGACACCCTCTCTAAGCCGCCCTGTTCCCACGGGGCCGCCATAAAGGAAAGGGGGCCCCGATACCAAGGGGGCCTGGATATTGTGGAGCGCGCTAGGCCTCGAGGGATCTCCCTGGGGTCCGGGACGGTCAACGAGACGACTCGGGATGAAGAGCTGGCCCCAGCGAGAGCCCCCGTGCCCAGGGCCCGCTGCCCACGGGACCCCCTTCCCCCACGGTGAGCATCGGCCCAGCGCCGCCCCCGCATCCACGGGGGCGCGGCCGGGGAGTGCAGACCGCGGAGCGCTGGACGTGGACAGGCTCCCCGCCCGCGAGCCTACCTTGCTGCGGGGACTGGCTGCCGCCCCAGGGCAGCTTCATGCCGCCGACTGCGTTGTCCAGCTTCGACCTCGCTCCAGGAGGGGCCCGCGCCGCGGGGACAGCCCGCCGCCGTCGTCGTCGCTGTCGTCGTTCTTCGTCGTCGTCTTCGCCTTTCCCTGCACATCCTGCCCTTCCTCCCCTTGCTTCCCTCCCCCCCCGGCACCTGCGGTTCAGACCTTCTACTTAGCACGTCGCGGCGGCGACGCCTCCGACACGCAAGTGGGCGAAGCTCGGAAAATTTGAATGCTTGAGCTGCGACTCACTTAGCGCGTCGCGCCGACGCATGATGGACCACAACACCATCTGCGTGACACTCTGAGCAAACGTTCTTGACCGTATTTGGAGGCATGGAATCGGAAACTACCAACACCAACACAGGGGGCTAGCCTCCACCGGGGAGACATGATCCTGGATGCTTTTGGTGTTGGTGGTGGTAATATCATACGTCTTCCGCCAAGGACGCCCGAATCCTGCCACCACCACCGACATCAGGACCATCATGCCTCGGTGGAGGCACGCCGCCGACATTGGTGTTGGTATTCGCCACCAGGCCTCCGACGTATTCGTTCTCGCCCTCGCCATTGGCCTTCCTTCTCCCCGCCCCCCCGCCTCCGCGAGCCCGCCCTCGCGCCCGCATCCAGCCCGCCCTTGGCGTCGTCGCTCCTGCTCTTGCTCACCTACACGCTCCCCACCATCAGCAGCACAGGTCATTTCATCCTTGAGCAAGTGGCGCTGGACACTATACCCATCTGATCTGAAACACTGGCTATTCTGAACTGAAGCTGCCAATTTAGACACGAAATTATCGTTCCCGCTTGCGCTTCCGAATTATACTCCTCGATACACTTCAGGGCTTTAGGCCGGGCAATCAAACAAGCTCTGAGTATGATATCCTAGCGCCGAGAAGTGCATGCGTGTAGTGAAACGCTTGCGTACACCCAGGTAGACACATGCATGCACACGCCCTCGCACGAAGTGTTGATCGAACAACATTGCGGAAGAAAGAGACCCTCAACAAAACAAACCGGAAACACACCGCAATACGAAATGGATCACGTTCAGTGTGCTCCGTCTTCGTTATGATGATACCCCTGGCCGTGAGCTGCTTACCGCCTGCGCTGGTGATGTGCCACACTCCTGTACTGACCAACCCCCTGAGCTGTGGAAACACGCCAGTCCTCGTCAAGACGCCGCAAATCATGTTAAGGGTTGGACAATGAATGAAGTACCTGACCCGGCCGGTCAACCTGTCTTCTCTGATCTGTGGGATGGATCGCCTGCTATTCTTGTTCGCTCGAACTCCTTTCACTCCGCAGCACAGTTGCCAGAAATCCAAGCAATGAGTATACCGATCTATCATGATATCGATCTCGCCGGAGTCGAAGTAATCGAGAACATCTCGAGGCTTGTGCTGATGTTGGGAACTCCTCAGCAGCTCTTTGAAGCCCATGCCGATGAATTGCGCGAACTGGTTGACATTGTAGTTGGCATTCGTCTCCGAGTGGCACGCGCTGTGGCTGGCCATCTTGACCTCGCAACTCTGCATGACCATCTTGTGGCACTATGAGCCTCTGTTCTTTCTCTTTTAGGCCCAACTGCTTGTTGTGGAGCCTGGACGCGTGCTTGGGAACATCTTCTGCCCCTCCCCCTCTGGGTCCTGCCGAGCGCAGCTCCCTGTGGTGACAGATGTTCTGTTCTTGGCTCTGGGACAATCGCACCACCATGACCTCGAAGGCCCCCTCGTCCATACTGGTCCAATGCTCTGTTCTTCTTCCGACAGCGGCAAATTTTCGCTCCACTGCTGTCCCAAGACTTCTTGTCGTACCAAACCCAAGGCTGCCTGGAGGAACCGTCATCCCTGGGATTGTGGATCCCTCCATCAGCCCACCTCCCTCAGGGACCCTTGGGGATGCTGGCTGCTACTTTGGCCCCGTTGGGGTTGACGCGCGCCGCAATGGAAACTCTGGCCTTGTCACCATTGTTCCACGCGCTGCAGATCCTGCAGACCCGAACCTGGCATCTCCTGATCTGCAACCGCTCGGATTCCCTACTGGACAAGATGGCCGCCGCCGCTGGGGCGGACCGGCAAACGGCTCAGCAAAGTGCGGACCTGGCGAGTGGAAGGATCAAGCCGTGGACCAGCGGTATCCAGATGGTTTCCTCCGAAAGCTGAACAACCTCGAGCCAACATGCCTACGACTCCTTCTCCTCCTCCACCTCCTCCTCTTACTCTTTGTCTTCTCATATATCTACTATTATCAAATTCCTCCTCCTCCTCCTCCTCCTCCTCCTCCTCCTCCCCCTCTCACTTCCGCTCCCTCCCTTCCTCCACAATTACACAATATGAATACTATTATCTTCTCTTCCCTGGTGACGTCCGGGAAATGTCCAGCCCCCCTCCACCGGTTTTCTACGCAAAGGATTCCCGGAAGTTGGGTGTTTTTTTTCAAAATGCTGCTCTCGCTGAAACGCTGGCCTCATTTTCGGGCTACCGCTCGTTCCGAATCGTGCACCCGCTGCAGCGCTGGCCTCATTTCCGCGCTTCCGCTCGTTCCGAATCGTGGTCCCGCTGCAGCGCTGGCGTCATTATTTCCAGCGCCACGCCACGGCATGGTTTTCGGTCCTTCCAAATAGACCCCAAAATCAAGAAAACAAAACCCCCGAAAGAACTATCGGAGGTGATCACACATTCAGTGTCGATTCGTTGATTGTTTGGACAGCAGACCCCCCCACTTTGGGGCGTCGCCACGCCATGCTATGTCAGGATGCGCGTTGATCTTCAACACCATGCTATGCCGTGTAATGCTATGCTCTGCCACGACATCCGACTGTGCGAATAGAGAGAATATCTACGCCACAGTAAGGGATGGGAGGGAGGGTTAGGACGTCAGATATGACGCGAGCGCAACTAGCTTGTCTCCCTCCCCTCCCCTCACCCCCCCCATCCCTCATCGTCCTTCCTCCCTCGTCCTCCGCCCCCCCCCATCCTCCGTCCCTTACCCCCGCCCCGCCTCAGCGAAGCGCTGGTGGAACCGAGCAGCAGAAGCCCCTGCACAGCGTCGAACGACACGCTGACGACGCCGAATGAGCCCTCCTGCACCTCCGCCACCTGGGCGGCCTCGCCGCCGACGTCCTTCCGCGGGGCTCCGGGGAGGGAGGGGCGAAGAGGAGGAGGAGGAGGAGGAGGAGGCCTCGTCTCAAATCTAATTCATGGTTTGTTGCTGCCCTCACCCAAAAAGATTCATCGGCTTAAAATCCACCAGCCCTTTGAGGCGTGAGTTGTTTAGAGCATTGCCTCTTCTAACCCCCCCTTCAGCTTCTAGGAAGGACCAGTCACCATTCCTGCATAACGAACACCCCCTCCCTCACCCGACTGGCGACAAACCAGGAACACTGCCACACCACCACCATCCCGTGTAAAAAAGGGTGCAAACTGCAATGTGCACCAACATCTAGATCATGCGCGGACGCCCTGCGATCACTTCGCTTCGATATTTGACAGGGACGGGGGAGCGGTCGGCATATTGCTTACTGTGTGCAATGCCAACACCACCACACCAATCCTGGCAACATGCAATACACATACAATAGAAAAGTTTTATGACAGGGGCGCCGGGGGGCGGCATATTGCCGGCTGCGTACAACGTCAACACCCTCACCATCCCTTGCCAAAAACAATACAACATGCACTTTGCACCATCATCTGGATCATGCTCCGGCGCCCCGCGATCACTTTGAAGTGGTTTTTGACAGCGGCGGCGGCGCGGGGGGTCGGCATATAGCTTGCTGTGTGCAACGTCCACACCCCGACCACCCCTTGCAAAAAACCCAATGGGATCAAAATTGGGACCATGCGCGGGCGTCCCTCGATCACTTCGCATTGGTTCTTGACAGGGGCGGCGGGGGCTGGCATAGTGTTCAGGCTCACCATCCCTGTCAAAAACAGGTTCAAAATGAGCGCGCGTGCACACACAAACAATGCACAATTCTGGCAAACCCGCTGTCACTATGCACTAAGAAGGTTTTGGACAACGATGTTTGAGGGTCGACAGATTGCCCAATGTGGCGCCCCGGGTGCGAGTGACGCACCTGGCGTGTGCGGCGCACATCGCGGGCGTCGCGCACCTGCCTGGCGTCTGCGTTGGTTCCCGACGGTTGTCGGTTGCGGCCCCTGCCTATGCTGAAACTCGGGTGCTACTTATACAACCTGAGGGCGGGTGCGAATGAGCGAGACAGCTTGCGGCGTTCCCGCTGGAAACTTGACCCCTCCCCCTAACCCCTCCCCTGGACCTGGACGGGAGGTTTCGCGACCCATTTGAGGGTCTAAGAAGGCCTCGGCGAGAAGGACTACATCCTTAATTTTCCTTTTGAGTTGTGGCCAATGTTGGCACCCTGGAGGGGCGGCGTAATTAGTACCCCACCTTCTTTGATCGAACTCCTCCAAAATGGCCTCGACATTGCCCACAAGGCTCCCGAGATTGCCGCAAGAGGGCCCCAAGAGGTGCCTAGAAGGCCCTTAGAGACCCCCACGAGGTCCCCAAGAGGCTCCCAAGAGACCTCCTAGAGATCTCTGGGACCGCCAAGAGGCACCCAAGACGCCCCAAAAGGACTCCAAGAAACCTTCCAGATGCATCCGGAGAGACTCTGAAAGGCATCCAGGGTGCATCTGGCCTTTCTGCTTGCTCTCCTCCTCCTCCACTTCCTCCTCGTCCTGCTCCTCTTCCGCCAAATCCTCCTCCTCCCTACTCCGTCCTCCCGGCCTCCCTCTCCCCCTCCCCCTCCTCCTCCTCCTCCTCCTCCTCCTCCTCCACCTCCTCCTCCTCCTCCTCCTCCTCCTCTTCCTTCTCCTCTGATGTCTCCTCCATCCTCCCCGTCGTGGGGTATGACGGCTTCCCAAGCCCTGGTTTCCACTGCATGATCCTCCAACTCCCTGGTCAGGGCAACTCGGCTGCGCATCGTTTCTGGATGGGCTGGTGGGATTGCTCGAAGCGTCTACGTCTAGAATGTTAGCTTTCTCACTGACGCCACGGTCTCGCTACGAAAGTTGTTTCAACCTCGGAAGGAGAAATAGGAGGAGGAGGGGGTGGACGGAGGAAGGGGAGGGATGAGAGGGACGGGGGCGGAGGAAAATGGAGGAGGGGAAGGGAGGGGGGGAGGATGGGGCGGGGAGGACGGGGGCGAGAGATGGAGGGAGGGGGGGGGAATGAGTAAGGGAGGCCCTCACCCCCTTCCCCCTCCGGCGATTCCAGTGCTCGCGCAGTGCACGGGGAAGGGGGGGGGATGGAGGAGGAGGACGACGACGCAGGAAAGAGGAGGGGGGGACTCCTTCCCCACTCCCTCCTCGATCATCAACCTCGCCTCCTCCTCCTCGTCCTCCTCTTCCTCCTCCCCCTCCTCCTCGTCCCCTTCCCCCTCCTCTTCCTCGTCATCCTCCTCGCTTTCCTCGTTGTCATCGTCCTCGTCGGCGAGGAAGACTCATTGAACACCTGAGATGGGGCATGGAGGGGGAGGAAGGCAACAGGGGGTGTGTCGACCCCTATCCCAAGCCTCGTGAGTTTTCGAGTGGACCGCACAATGTGGGACTCACCTGGGAACATCGGACAGGGGGGCGCTCATCCTCGATGGGAGCGCCCGAGTAGCCCCCTGGGGGTACACGTATGCCAAGGTTTCCCCCCTGTTCTGAGCGGAGGCGCCCAGGGCCGCCTTTGGCCGTTATTGGCCCGAAGAGGACGCGAAAATCTAAGGAAACGTATGTCGTTTGCCTCAAATTCTCGTGGAGGCCCCACCTGTTGAAAAAAAACGGGCGCCTACAACAGCCAAGATCTACTCTGGGGGGGGAGGCCCGCCCCTGAGCGGCCAAACTTTTCGCGCGGAACCCGGGGATTGGGAGGACAAATCGCCTGCGAGCGAGGTGAGGATGGTGGAGGAAGAGGAGCGGATCGAGGGAGGAAGGGAGGACGACGACGATCACGACGACGACGAGGATCCAGCTCGGGCAAACCGAGAAACCGCTGCACCTCTGGGCAGTTCATCGCGTCGCGACGCGCGCAGAGAGCCGCGAGGTACTGCTGCAGCGCCACCTCGGCGAGGGGGCGACTAAGGGCCAGAGCAGAAGGAGCATCAACATACAAGAGTGCGTTGCCCGAGCTCGCCGAGCAAGCAATGATAAAGCCAAGGCAGCAGAGCCCTGAGCGGCCAGAGAAGAATGGGCACGCCAGAGCGCGGGTGTTGCCCATTCCCTGAGGAGTTTGTTTAGCAACTTCCGTTCTTTCGTAAAGACGGGGGAGGAGGAGGAGGAGGAGGAGGAGGAGGAGGAGGAGGAGGAGGAGGAGGAGGAGGGAGGAGGAGGAGGAGGAGCAGGACGAGGTCGCCTCCTCCTCGGTTGCCAAGGGCCTAGCACACACGTGTTGAGGGGGCCTCCTCCTCGCTTGCCAGGAAGCTGGAAACACAAACACACACACAAACACACGCACGATCAGCCAACGTCGAACCAAGAACTCCGATCGAATCGGAATAGGGCATCTTATCAGACTGCATCGACACAATACTGGCAGCGAATCGGACCGGCTGCCGGCAGGATGTTCAACAGCGCCATGCAAGCAGCGGGCCGCATCGACCACTCTCCATTGCTGTACGCCGCTTTGCTTTGTACTGCATTGTCATGTTTTCATGTGTTTTGCATTGCCTCGCTTTGCACTCAATCGGCTCGCTTCACAGAGCGGTTTGCCGCATTGTATTGTGCTGCAGTGCTGTGAATTGCCTATAGAAGCGGTCTGGCGGGTGGGGGGCGGAATACCATCGGAAACCTTCGGCGATTCCAATATACTTCCAGGGGAAGCAGGGGGGATGCTAGGGAGGAGCATGAGCAGGATGGGCATGCTGATGTTGACCAAGAGCAAGACCAGAAACTCTGGGGACTCCAAGTCAGACAAAGGAACAATAAACTGGGTGGGCCTCAGAAAGGGCCATCAGAATAGCCCCTGCGAAGGAAACAACCCGCGAAATCCAAACAGGAGGCGGATGAGGACGATCCAGCTTGGACTTGCCCGTGCTTCACGAGGACACTGTGAAGGAGGCTGCCGTGGTGGAGGAGGGCGATGTGGAGGAGGACGATGTGTATGAAGGACGAGTGGCACGTCCTCACTCAACGCTCACATCGGGGGCTCGAGGGTGGGATTGTCATACGGTCGCTGTGTAGTCCCTTTGGAAGAAGGGAGCTGTGAACCTCCCGTTGGGTTCGTTGGTTGGGTTCGTTCCCCAACCCCGCCCTTGGTCGCCCCCACCCGCTGCGAGATTCACATCACAGCCAGGCTCGGGTAGCTCCGCCACTTAGCGACCGACCACCGCAGAAAAAAAGAGGAGACGGAGGCGGAGAACGAGGACGACGAGGAGGAGCAGCAGGAACCGGGAGACGAAGAGGCAGACGGGGTCGGGCAGGAGGAGTGGCTGAGGAGAGGACGCGGGAGCAGGAGGGCGAGGGGTCCAGCGAGAGGAGGATGGAGGAGCAGGAAAGGAGAGGCAGGAACACGGTCGCCGTGCTGCCGTGGGGAAGGCGATTCCAGGAACGAAGAGCTTTCCTGGCCACAGCAGGCCTCGGCCACGAAGAGGCTCCAACAACCCAAATCTGACGGACGGGCCGAAAGCTCAGAACCCCGAGCCCCCCTCCTGAGCCTAAGGTGGCCCCGATGTCAGCGTATCGACTGGAGGAGGAGGAGGATGGGCAGGAGGAGGTTGGACATACAGTCGGGGCGCCGAAGAAGGAACCCCTTTGGATGGGGAGGGGCTCGGCGTTCCTGAAGTGTTCCACACCTTGCCCAAGGTTTTCCTTAAGTTTTCGATGTGAAGTCGAAGGCAAACTTATGAAAAAAGGGCCTCGTTCCTTATTTAGGGTTCCTTAGGTCAACGCCTCGACTGTAAGGGAGAGGGAGGCCGAGGACGATGGAACCCAGACAGACAGCTTTTCGATCATTTGCGTCGCGCGCTCACGCCCCCATCGGGGCCTTCCAATACCAACGTCGATGGAGCGCCCGCCTCTGGGCCGGTGGCTCTGCTGGCTGGTCAGCGCCGTCAGTGGCCCACTCGGGGAGTGGTCCTGCGAGTCCGCTGGCGCAGTCTGCACTCCTCTCTCGCCACCTCCCGGATGATGGGCCCCGGGCGCTCGCGACGGCCACCGAGGGCGCGGGCGCCCGATCGACGACCACGAGGACCCCCAAAAAAACTGGTGCCCCGCAACCGCGACACGGGGCGAAGAAGCACACCAGGACCCAGGGAACACACACACACACACGTGTAGACGTATATACACATACATAGATACATGCACACACACACACGCACACCTCGAGATATGCCATGAGAAAGCGTACCAAAAACACATAACCTGTGTATGCAAAGTTCCAGGCGTCGGTCGGCGGCCCACTGGGCCCCGCCCGATCGGGCCCTCGGGGGCCGCCAACAGGGCTGGGCGGGCGCTCGCACGCTTGCCCGTTCCCGCGGCTTTCCTGGCCTCGCTGGCCACAAGCCAACGCCGCTTGGCGCTTCTTGGATTCCACGCGGGCCCAAGCGAGCTGGCGGCTGGGATGGCCGATTTGCCACTCAAGGCCCAGTCGGCTGTTCTTGTTCTCGAATTGGGCCGGCCAAGACCACAGACCCGACTCAGAGTATGCTGTTGTCTTGTCCTTCCATATTGAGAGAAACTGTGTGAACGAACTGCAACAAACGAGGCGAAGCGAGGCGCCGGTCTGTCGCCCAAGGAGGGGCGGCCCTACGAGAGCCCAAGGGTGGCCCCCGAACGCCATGCAACACGGCTTTACAACCGATGATCTGGATGAAGCCATGCCATCTGAGCAGGGACCGACCGCCCCGGCACTCCTATAGTCCTACCACGAAATGTTATTAGAACCAAACAACGTTCCACGAACCAAAAAAACGTGGCTAGAACATAAACCCGACGTGATAAAAAAAAAACAGTCTCCGCCAGAAATGTTCTCATAATGTTTCGTGGAAACCACAGAAGGTTCTTAGAACATTGTTTGGTCGGGCTATAAGCGAGCCCGGACGTTTCGCCACTGCTTGAGCCATCAGCTCACCCGCAAGCGCACGAGGGCGGGAACCAGAAGGTGCAAGGAATGGAGGACGCGGCATCCGCGGAGCAGGGGGCCGGAGTCGGACAAATAGACATAAAAAACAGGGGCCGGAGAACAACTGAAAGCAGGAGCTGGGGTCGGAAAGGAGACGTGCGCCAGGGTCGTCTCGTGGCCGATCGTTGTGCTCGCCTGTTGCACGCGCGCCCCACGACGCTGGCGAGGGCAAGATATTTCGGCCTCAGTGCCGCCCATAGTGTGTTATCCGACGTCGTGCGAGTCCATGTTGCGGGGTCGTCATCGCCGTTGCTCGCATATGCCGCGCGCAGGACCAAGGTGATCTCATCGCCCACACTCTTCCTTTGCCATCCATGACGTCGTCGGGCGTGGTGCGGGTCGCGGGCGTCGGGGTGCCAGCGCGCAGGGCTGCGACGCGCAATGCCCGCCGCCACTTTCGTCTGAAACGCACCATGGTTCGGCCCTCCGCGCCCCGACGCCGCCCGTGCCCCAGGGCTGCGCGCGCTGATTTTCGAGCGGGGGGGCCCGTGGTTCTTTGCTCTTCTCCCTCGTAGGATGTGCCAGGTTGGGTGGTGGGGGCTGTCTGGCGCGCGGGCGCGGTTCCGTAGGTTGCGACGCCGCGGCAGCTCCATCGCGAGCCCGGGGGCTCTGCGGTGGACGCGTCGCGAATCGAGGGGGGCCCCTCTCTGGGCGGGGCGCTGAGATAGACGCTGATCTAGCACACTCTGCTAGGGGGCTCCGTCGCGTGGTCGGCGTCGAACGTCGGTGTCCCTCTCCGAAGGCATCTCCGCGCCCCCGTGCTGCGAGGCTCGAACATCGCTTCCGCCGCGCCAGACGCACGGCGGCCCCTCAGCTGCGTTCGGGAGCGCCGCCGTCTCTCCTGCGCGCATCTTCGGGCCAGACTTGCAAGCTTCTGTGTCGAGGTCGACGACCATGCGTGCAACGTCTCTCTTGCTGATGAACAGTATGCGAACTGCGTCGGGAAACCAAGACTTGTCGGGGGCGCAAGCAGGCCGCCAATGAACATGCACAATTGAGGGCCGTGTTTCCGTGAATTGCAACTCGCCCATGTTCGCTTCGTCCTGTAGATCCTTTCCATGACTACAATCAAAAGAAATGAGCTGATGCCCCCCCCCTTCCCCCCCTGCTCAACCCCGTCGGAAGGTGTCGAACGCGCGGCTTTGCTCGCCTGCTGAAGCTCTGTCCCATTGGTTCGTTTATATGACGATGTGCCCATCAAGCATGCCCTGCTCTCGCAGCGCCTTCCACGGTGCGCCCGCCGTGCTCGGCGGCGTCGACGGCATTCTTCCAAGTCAGCCCACCTGCCCACAGTTCATTATCGCAGGCCTCCGCATGAAGAGCGAGGCTCATCGGGTGGTCGATTGCGATGAAGCCCGCGAAGTAAACCGCCCGATCGACGGACTGACCAGCTGAGATAGCGCCGCGGAGCGTGCTGCGTAGGAGCGCGCTGCAGAGCTTGTACAATATAGCGAAGATGGCAGCGGATTTGTAGTTCGAAAGTAACGAGGCACCTTCTTTTCGTTTGGTGAAGCACTGTGATGCGGATGTTGGCTTGGATCCAAGACTACGTTGGGCGCGCCCACCGCAAGCTCGAGCAGGAGGGGGCAATCCACCTTCACCTTCCCAGCTGTGACCCCCCTGCCGTCTCCAGACCTGCCGTTCCGCATCTCCCTGAATGAGTTGTCACTTCCGGTCCCTGTGAAGTCGGGCACCTGGTCCCCGCCGCGCATCTCGCAAATGTTATCTCTGCTGCCCTCCTTGGCAGTGGAATGCAGTCCGAGCGATATCAATCGTTCCTTCTGTGGGGATAGATCAACGCGGAGACTCCGTGCATCACCGTTGCAATTCTTATGCCGCTGAAGAGCTCCACGCGTTTGTAGAGTGTCGTTTCGTGACGCGAGTGATACGGCGGCCCCCATCCTGCAGCAATCACATGTCCTAGTTTTGCGTCGTGGACTGCGTGGGAGGTGAGATTCCGTCCCGAACCCTTTGCACTGTGATCGGAACGTAATGCTTCGACGCTGCTGCTATTGATGTCGACAGTGGAACCTGTTTTTCGCTCCATCCGGCTGGCTGTTGTTGGAATCTGGCTCTTGCTGCAACGTCAGAAAGACTGCTCGTGCTGCCCATTGCTTTTCACGAAATGCGTAGGAGAGCTGCCGTAGGTTCGTGGCATGAAACAAACCATCGTCGGCGAAACGCAAATGTATAATCCGCGTGTGAGCGAAGCCGAATTACCTCCCAAACCCTTTGCGTCCCCATGTAAGCTTCACCTGTCGGAGCACATGTTGAAGGACATATTCGAAACAACACAAAAACTTAGCGCCCACTTGTTTTAGGCCCCGCTCGATGCTGAAAGGTCTGCTGCTGTTGTCGGTCAGCTCGATTGCCGCGTGGGCGCAGTAGAGCTGATTCAGGAAGTTCATACGGGCGGGAAGTATATGCTGTTGCCGCAAACTGCCAATGCAAAAATCCCGGTCAACCCAATCAAACGCCTTTTTTAAGCGGATTGCTGCTGCCCGCACTGGTATCTGCCACTCGTAAAAACTTGCATGTCGCATTGTCACGTTGAACACATGACTTTCCGTGCAAATGTGCTACTGGACGGCCGATTGGTCAGGGAACTGCTGCGAGTCGAACACAGAGGACAGCCGGTTGCGAAGGAGACGACACATCAGTTGCCACAGCAGTGGGATGATAGCTGCTGGCCTGTAGTTGTTCGGTAGCTTATGGTCTCCACATTTATGAATCACAACGGTGGTGGCCGGGGTTCTTCCATTGTTTTGGGGGAGTCCAGTTGGGCTGCATGGTGTCGTTGTAGAGTCGGAGCAGGTGGTGTTCTCTGGTATCGCCTACAGCTGTGAGCAAGTCTGCTGTGAGTCCCGCGGTGTCTTTGCACTTGCAGTTCTTCAGCTGTTTTATTGCCTGGTGGAGCTCGACTGTGGTAAAAACTGTGACTGCTGGACCGTTATGCATCTCCGTTTGGGTGCGCCGGCGTTGTCTTCATTGCGTGGGTTTGTCTACAAGTCCTCGAAAGGAGGATGGACCCAAAAGAGGAGGACGACTGAGGAGGAAGAGGAGGGATGAGTAAGAGGAGGAGCAGGAAAAGGGGAGGATGGAACATGAGGGAAGAAGGTGGGTGGGAGGAGGGAAGCGGGGAGGGAGGAGGATGGGTGAGGTCGGGCAACAAAAGGAGCTCGGAGCCTTCCGCGACTCCAGGTACTCCGCGTTGAACTGGCGGACCAGCGACTTGGAGGGCAGTTCCGCCGGGGTCGAGATGAGACGCCTCCTCAGAGGCCCGCGCGAGGAGCATCGGGGCCCCGAGCACGGTGACTTTTTGGATGAGCCAGGACACCGTAAGACAAAGCCGGGCCAGGGACAACATCGGACGCGCACAACTCGGGGATGTATCAAATCTGGCGGCTCCGGAAGATGTGTCGGGCGCCGCGGCCGTGGAAGAGCGTCCTGGAGCACTCCGGGAGCGTCCCGGAAGGGGCCCTGGAGCGATGGATCTCGATTCACTGCCCGCCTGACGTCGGCACGCCCCAGGAAGCTGCAGCCATGGGTCGAAGCATTCTCCGCTGCGCCTGCACTCCAGCCGCACGCTGCAGGGTCCTGGTTTTGCAGGGTCCTGGTTTCCTGGGCGCTGAGGGCAGGGGATGGAGGGCTGGCCGATGGGGGAGGGACATGGGGGGGGTGGGGGTGGCATGAAGGGGAGCCACCTGGGACTTCCTTGCTGTCGCCCGCAGGTCTGCTACCCTATGCCCGCGAAGGCTTCCCTACTTTTCGCCATATCTTCGCACCGCTTCTCACCGCTCAGCCTAACAAGGTGATCCGAGAGGGGGTTCGTTGTCAACCACGGTCTTTTTCATACCAACTTCCTGATGCAACAGCCATCCAACCAATGTCGGTCTCACGTAAAAACGATTGGAGGGGAGGAGGGTGGGGGGGGAGGGTGGGGGAAAACCGCGGGAAATTAGCGGTCGACAGCCGCCAGCAAATTTCGACGGCAAACCTAGGATAGAATACACGCGGCCCGCTCCGTCCCATGCTGGTGGCAGCACCGAAAGTATGAGGAGGCAGAGGGAAGGGATGGACGGAGGAGTAGTAGCCTTCGGTGCTCTCAGAGACGACGGTGTCGACGGGAGGGGTAGGACGACGGCGACAACCTCGAGGAAAGGGGCGGGGGAAATGGGGGGAAACAGCGGCGAAGGAGGACGGGGCTTTGTGAGGGTCTTCCTCAGAAACTCGTGCAAGGTGACGAACTCGTTGAAGCGCTTCCGGAGCCGATGCGGCTCCCGCTGCTGGCCCACCACGCGGATGGTCCACTCCACGTGCGTCCCGCTGGAGGAAAGCCTTGCCTGTTGAGGACGACAGGGGAACAGCATCGGAAGAGGCAACTCCTGGAATGCCTTCGTGGAAACGATGACAGGCGGTTGGGACGAATAAAAAACCCTGCGCCAAACTTGCCCGGATTAAACCAGGGATCAAGGCCTGGGATTACGCACGATCAATCAGGATCAAGCTGGTTTCAGCAAGATCAGCCCCAATTGAACAAGTCATCGACCGCGAACAAATACCAGCGCCGATGCAACAGTTCAGTTTCCCAGGAACTGCATCCTAGACAACGTTTCATAAACATACACTTGCGACGGTCTGCGCGGATTCTTTTCGGGGGCGCGCAAACATGGATTAGCGATCCATGGATTTGGCGCGCGGTCGCCAAATCCATGGATCGGAGGAGGTGCCCTCCAAAAAATGCGGCTGGTGCCGCCTCGCTCGGCGGCGGAAATCCGTGATCTCCTAAGGAAACGAGACCCGTCGCTAATCCACGCCCCCTTAATCCCCTCCGCCTCCGGCGTGCGGAGCGCACCAGAAAAAAGGGGTACTGCGCCGAGCCAGCACACCCGCGCGGACCTTCAGAGGTTTGTGCTGCTGCAGCTGCCCCTCCGTCGACAGGAGGACGGGTGGAAGGAGGAGGAGGGGGAGGAGGAGGAGGGGGAGGAGGGGGAGGAGGTGGATAGGGAGGAGGAGGGGGGAGCAGAGGAAAAGACCATAGGCCGACATGTGGGCCCTACTGAGCCTGGCAGTGCGCCACCATGCCGCCTATTTGGACGCCCGAAATGGGTACGGAAAGAACGGGCACTATGCCCAACAGCAGATGTTGTCCCAAAGCAACAGCGGCCGCTGTTGGGCAGGCGGCCTTCTGTCTCGAATGGACACAGGCCGCGGCGGCGTGGACAGCGAATCCTGTTCAAATGAACAAGATCCGCTGTTGGGCACAACGAGCCTCGGCCAAGAATTGTAATTGCCGAACCAACAACGCACACCCATACCCACAGAGGGGGGTCGGAGAGGGCTGTGGGTGCGCGTTGTCGGATGGAGGTCCCCGCTCGAACGGGAGCGTTCCCCAGGGTCCGACAACCCGCACCCATACCCATACTCCAGATTTCGTAATAAAAGGGAAGGGGTCTGGACCCTCCAAGACAAGCCATTTCAGACCTCCCCCGTGGGAGAACCCTCCAAAACATCGTCCCCAGACCCCCCAGGCCCTCCAAGATAGCCTGGAAGAGACCCCCCCGAAATGAGACCCCCCTCCCTTTATTACGAAATCTGGAGTACCCATAGCCAGTCCTCCTCCCAACGACCCCCCTATGGGTATGGGTGTGTGTGTGTTGCTCGCTCGTCAGGCACAGGCCGGCCCAGCTCCGAGGAGCCGCCCAAGAAAGACCCGAGCCCCTCCCGAGCCCCGGCTGAGGAGCCGCCGACCTTCCAGGCCGAGCCCGGGCGCCCCCCGCGTGGAATCGACCACGACGATGACGACGACGACGACCACGACGACGACGACGACGACGACCACGACGACGACGACGACGACGACGACGACGACGACCACGACGACGACCACGGCGACGAGCCGGATCGGCGGGAATCGGCAGCCGCGTCGGGAGAAATCGAGTCGGCGGAAATCGGCAGGCCAGAACGCCTCCAAGAAGGAATCGGAGTCCAGATCGAAATCCCGGGTCGAATCGAATCGGGATCGGAGGCCATCGAAATCGAATCGACTCGGATCTTAACTCGGGTATGTCCCCATACAGGGGGATTTTCGACGAAATACTAGAAATACTCCGAAAATGCAGAACAACAAACCAAACATGCTGAAGAAATAGTCCCCAGACTATGTTTTGACTGCTTTGGAGCATTCCTCCTGTAGAGGGACACGCCCGAGTAAAATCGAATCGGAGGAATCGAGATGAGCCCTGCAGAGCCGCCATCCTTGCAGGCCGAGTCCAGGCAGGGCGACGCTGGCAGCACGAGCCGGCTGGCAACGGTGATTGTCGCTCTCGTTGTGTTTTCGTTTTCCCTCGTTTTGTCTTCAATCCGCCTTTACCGCAAAACGACATCGAAACGAAAACGGCCCAGGCAATCCCCAGAACACCGTTTGGGTCCAGCCCCGAGCAACCGTGCCGCGGAGAGGAGGAGCAGGAGGGAGCGGGAGGAGCAGGAGGGCGTGGACGACGAGCAGCAAGAGCAGCGGGAGATGGGGGAGCAGGAGGGCGCGGCACACGTCGGTTTCGTGTCGTGCCGACTTCGGCGTTGGCGACTGACACCGCGGGGATCCTTCCGCCTTGAACGATCGAACGATTCTGGGTCGCCCGTGGGGCGTTCAACGTTGAACGCCGCTGGCGGGGTCGCCGCCGGTCGACACGACACGAACCTACCGTTGGCAGGAGCATGACCAGAAGGAGCAGGATGAGCAAGGACGAGGAGGGATTAGATTTCCGAAAAGCCTGCAGGGACTCAGGATTTGACAGACCTCTGCGGCCGAGTGAACCATTGCAGTAGTGTCCGATGTTCACGCGTCAGTTGGACCCGAGAAGGAGGAGGAGGAGGAGGAAGAGGAGGAGGAGGAGGAGGAAGGGAATTCGAGTTAGCCTGGCCGAGCGAGCCAGAGGGCCCTGCATACTCCCAACCTCCCTGCCACAACATAATAATCAAGTGTGGCACTCTTAAAATAAAGACTGGAACGCGCTCACACCTCACACAAACGGAAGGCGTTCTCGCGCGGCCCCGCCTCCGACGACCAGGCGACGAGAACGCTACGAGGGCCGCGCACTGGTGGGAGCGGCACAACTTCCGATAACGCGAGGCGAAGGGGAAGCATGCGCTGGCCGCGCCGACACAGCACTGCGGCCTTCGCTCACAAGCTGTGCGGCGCTTGGGCGACGTCGGCATCTCGCCCGCTCTCCCGCGGCTCGGCTGCCGCTGTCGCTCCCGTGTGATTCGGCGATGCGCCGCGCCTGCGCTGTGAGCGCCACCTCCGAGCGAGATGTGCACGCAGCCTTGGGCGAGGGGGGCAAGTCGCCCACCCGCGCGGGCAGCCCCAAATCCCACCAGCCCTCCGGGCGCAGGGTGGTCCAGGGCGGCTTCTCTTCCAACCCCCTTTCCCCCCTTCGGGTAGGGGAGTACCCCTCACCCTACCCCCTCTCCTGGACCTGGAAGGGGTGTTCGCGAGGTGCTGGAGCGTCCAAGATGGCCCACGATGGCTCCAAGAGGGCCCTCCGAGAGCCCAAGATGACCTCCAAGATGGCTCAAGATAGCCCTACGTGGCTCCAAATGGCCCCCAAGATGCTACAAGAGGCCCCCCAAACCGTTCCAAGACGGCTCCAAGTGGCCATGGGAACTCTCCAGGAGGCCGCCAAGAGGCCAACATCCTGCAAACACCTAAGGGGAATCCATGAATTTGGTCTTCTCGCCTTTTTGCTTTCGATGGCCTTCCGATGTCTTAAGACAGCTCCAACTGGGCCCCTACGAGCCCCAAGAGAGGCCCAAGAGAGCCTCAAGACGGCCCCAATAGCGCCCAAGAGCGCTCCAAGAGCGCTCCAAGAGGGGTCCAAGATGCGATTGTAGACGCTCTAGAGGGGCAAGGCGAATTGAGTACCCCTCTCCCTCTTGGGGTACAACAGTTTCTCCAGCCCGTTGTTCCTCTGTATGCTTCTCCACATCCCTGATTAGGGCAACTCGTCTGGATTTCGATGCTGGATGGGCTTGTTGGGCTACGCGAGGCGTCAAGAATTGGCGAATGGCAAATATGCGCCGCGTCGGAAGCGCCGCTTTCAGGCAAAATCTGCGCGGCGCCGAAGAGCGACATGTTCGTCCACTCGTGCGTCGACGAAGTTGCGTGCGAACAATTCGCGCCGCGCCCAAGCGGGAACTCAAAATTGTAGAACAATTAACGGGGCGCTGAAGCGATGGCGACATTTCGGCCTTTCGCGCGGGATGTGCGCCACGTCACACTTCTGATGTCCATGCGGAGACGATGGATCTTGACGTTGTACTATTTCTTTTGCAAGTGCAGTGGGACATTCGGGATCCGGCCCCTATCGACTGGTTTCGTGGCAGCAGAATGAGAATACATACCAATAAGAGGATGAATCGAGTACCCGCCAGTCGGAAGAACTAGGTGGACCCATGCAGTAGAAAGGCGGATGAAATAGATCGGTTCCGGAAGCACCCAAATAATAAAGACCAACTCCAGATCGAATCTCGAAGTAGGAAGGCGCTTGAACTCGATGGAGACCTGGGAGCCCAGCAACACCTACTTACAGCGATTGGTGTGTAGGGGGAATCGGAGGACGAGGGCGAGGGGAGGCCGTGGAGGAGCATCGGCGGGAGGGCGCGGGGGGATAGCCCTCGCCTTGAGCGCGTCGATCTGCTTCCCGCCGCCTGCCTCCACGACGTCGTACCTCTCCACGTGGGCCGTGACGGCGAAGTCCCTCCCCAGCTTCGCCACCTCCGCCTCGGGGGCTGCCCGACGGCCGACGATCAGCACAGGCGGACAAGATGATCAGGCCAAGACCAGGACGGACTCGGAGCGGACTGGGACCGAACCGGGGATCTCCGAGGTCCCGCGGTCCTGTAGGACCGCCCCGCACTCCAGTGGGCTCAGTTCGTGTGCAGATTACTGCAGCAATATCTCGAAGCAGACTCTCTCTGTCCCCCTCGTCGTCCTCGTCGTCCTCGTCGTCGTCGTCGTCGTCGTCGTCGTCGTCGTCGTCGTCGTCTCCCTCCAGATCCTCCTCCTCCTCCTCCTCCTCCTCCTCCTCCTCCTCCTCCTCCTCCTCCCTCCTGCCTTCCCGAAAGG